TGGCCAAGGGTCAGTGTCACCTGGTGGCTGCTCAGAGGCACAAGTGAAATGAGTTGGTGGGTCCCAGTCCAGTAAAGGCAATCCAAAATAGCATCATCGGCTTTAACTGGTGTCCAGCCTACAACAGGCACAATACAAAAAAAGTAACACCGTGCAGGGTCCCAAACAGGCAGCAGAGACCCAGCTGCCTGGGGAGGCATTACACCATCAGGTATAATGCCTCCACAGAACCTTTGGACAACAGCAGAGATTTCACCTCCCACATTGCAGTCATCCTGTAACTAATGCAGGCTCCAGGCCCAAATCACCAGCACTGAATTGTCTTGTCTTAAGAAAAGGAGAAAAACAAGGTTTTCTTGTTTTGCTCAACAGCTGAAACTCCTAGCAGTATGACTGCTCACACCACAGCAAGGTATTTCCACAGTTCAGTCTTCCCCAGTGTCCTTTTGCAGGTACCCAGTACACTCAAGAGCCTCTCCATCATCCTTATGCTGCCCCTCTACCACCCTTAGTCTGTCCATCCCCTCAGTGTCATGGCAACCCATCAGGTCCTATGGCATTTTCTCTTCTCTAGCATCTCCTGACTGACACCAGTGAAACAGAGTATAAACAGGTCCAAAAAACCTTTTTTGAAAGAGGGAGATGTTCACTTCTGACCCCTAAATCAAAGCACCAGTCCAGGACCCCAAACCCATGCAAGCTCATTACTTCCAGCATCTGTGTGATGAACCAAGGCAGTGACCCAAGGGCTCATGGCTGCTGCAGCCAGGGCTCAGTGGAGCCTGCAATGCCTCCCCAGTGCTGTTGGGTGAAACACCACAGGTCATCTCATCTTTCAGGTGATCCCCTACCACTATGTTAGGGCTACCTGCTGTTTCCTATGCAGTTTCACCTTTAAAAAGACCCAGGGTTTTGCTGATGACCTGTTCAGCAGAGATACCAACCACAAACTGACAGAGTAGCTTGAGTGACACTTCTGCCTGGCACAGAAAGGGTCTGGATTCAGATCTCAAGGGAACACTAGCAGCCAGCATGAAAAGCTATTGGCTTGGGTCTGATCCCAGCACATTTGTTGAAGGACAGCATGGCTGGGTTGTGGCTTGAGTGGGTCAATTCCCCTTCACTCACACCATTGCCCAGCCCAAGCAACCAGTGATTTCTAGAAAACATCTATGGCCCTCATTTTCAGAAAGCAAAGACACCCCTAGATCTCAGTGGAGCATTAAATACTGCAGCCAAAAATGACTGAGCCCTTTTTGAAATCATCACACTTTCAAAGTAAAGGAGGACCATCTACTCCTGACTCCTTTGTCCTGTATTTCGCTATGTCCTTTGGATCACAAAGGTGGGGAGAGCAAATAGGCCCCATCCATTGATGAGGTTAAGCACGCTGCCGCCAGGAAAAGCTGCAGCGCTTGTAACCCTAATAATCCACCACACACCTCCGAGCATGGCTCATCTTGGACAGATTAACGTCTGTTTTAAAAATACCTGCCTCTCTCTAACTTGTCATGGCATTTGTTGACAACCCTATTGAAAGCAGCTCTCGATGCAGCTGTGAAGGATCTTTCAGTACCTCTTTCTCTTTCCTAGACAGTTTTTGAAAGGGAGGGGGGGGAAGCCATCAATACAGGGGGAAAAAGGCATCAGCAGCCAACATCGGCTGATGAAGCGCCTCACCTGGGCCCCCAGCGCACCGCCTCCAATTAAATCAAAATGGTTTGTTTTTAATGGTCTTTTACACTGACAAGTGGGCTATCATTCCAGGCCTAGATAGCTGTCAGGGAGCCGAGGCAAATCCTCCGTTGATAATGCCCAATGCTTCCAATTAGGAGCCGAGGCCGCTCCTGGCGCACTAACGATTCCCCAGCCTCCCCCTAGGCCCCTTCGGCACTGGCTGTTTCGTCTTCCCTCTTCCTCCGCCGCAAATTACTGACACAAAACGGAGGCGCCCTGGTGCCTCCTCACCACGCCAGGCCCCGGCCCTGTTGGATTTAATGAGGCGATGGAAGTTTTTGCGGCTCTTTCGCTAAATTCTTTTCTTGTTTGACAGCTGCTTGAGTGTTGACCTTATAAAAGATTTAGTGTTTCTCATTATTTTCTGTCAAGCTTTACAAGCGATAGCTTCGCGGAAATAATTTGCATCTCGATGCGTGCGTGTGGTTTTGTCTGTGTGGGGACGCGCGGTGCGGATAGGTGAGCGTGTGTGCGGGTACCCATCTCCTGTATTGTGTATTTTACCCCCACCCACAGACATCTGCAAACATGACGCTTATTTTGTGTTGTTTTGGGGGAAAAAATGTGAGAGAACTTGAAAGGGCCTGGATTTGTTAGACCCTTGTAAATGAGGGAGACTTCGGAAAAGGAGTAGAGGTTGGTTTCCTGTAAAGAGAGCTCAAGAAAGTGTTTTGTCACCCACTAAAAGGATTCAATCAAACGGAAGATGGAAAAACGAGGCTGGGGGGGGCCTTTGTTGTTAAAGTGAAAAATCGCACAAGGAGGCGAAGCTGCCTCCAAGCACATGAATAATCCCGGGCAGGCGCTCGGAAGGGAGCGGCTAAAGCAGCATCTCCCCAGCTGCGCGTGGGTCCTCCCCTGGCAGGGGGAAAGCCTGCCAACTGCTTATTGCCTGGTCAGGGCCTTTTAACAGGTTCACTCCCAGCACCTCCTGCAAGCCATTTCATCCAGCTGTATCAATTAAAAACTTCTGCCCTTCCCAAAGCCACTTATTTACCTTTCCATCAGGAAGCCAACCTCACTCACCACCCAGGGGTGCTCAGAGTTCAGAGCAGGTATTGCTTGCACAGCTTCTCAGCACACGCTTCCCAACTCCAGCAGGCCTAAGGCAAATAGTACCCACAGGGCACCCATCTCCAGGATGTATATACCCTGCTGCCCTCAGACTCAGTCAATATCAGCCTTTGCTACTCTGGCTTCCCCTTTTTGCATCTCGCATGCAACTCATTAGTCCTCTGTTAACAGACCAGCCTCTACTTGCAGCATGCATGTGACTGTACTAATGCTTGGCCAGTGATCCTTTCCATTCTTCCAAGCTTGGATATTATCTTAACTGAGAAACCAAAATAGCCCCAAGTACTTAAGTTTTAGGTGATAAGTTTGTTGTTGTCCCCCTAATTGTTTGAGGCAAAGGCTGATGTTATGATATCCCAGCTGCAGGAGTGTCCTGCAGCTTTAACTTGGCAATAAAACATGCGATGAGCAGCAGCAAAACATTACTTCTAATCAGCAATTGAAAACAATTACAGCTACCCCATCCCACAAGGAAACCCACCAAGTTTTTGCCTATGACACATATTTCTGTCCTGTTATGGCCAATGCTCCAGATCTACGATTAAGACAAAATCCTACCATAACAATTCAAAACCATATCAGAGTAATGATAAAGATCATCAGCCATCTCTAGAGAAAGTACCTTTGGGTTCATCATTTAGAATATGAATTAGAAGAATCAGAGCTGAGGATTCATCACTCTGGCATTGGTTTCTTACACCTGTCTCTGTCATATTAAGACCTTTGACCCAAGGACACCCTTATCTTGACTCTAATTACTGGCCTGGGACCTATCCATACTTCGCAAGTGTCCCTCATTATGAGAGGGCATCTCATTTTTTAAAAACACCACTTGTCTCCTGTTTTACACCTGGTGCTTCCTGCTTACTCACACTAAGAGCAGAAGCTGGCATCACTCACAATTTTGTCAAGGGCTCTGCTAATTTTAATTATGGCCAGTCATTCTTCAGTGTGGATCAGTGTGTCACTTCTCACCTGGGAACTTTGGACCAAGACTGAAATGAATAAACCACTGTTTTCTTCCCCCATGGCTTCAACCTATGCAGACATTTCATCCAGCCCAGTTCCCGACACAGCTGGGCAGGGAGTGCAATGGGAAATGCAGCTGTCCTGAGGTTCAGGGGGTGGATTTTTCTAACAAGCCCAGCTCTACCTCCACACCAGTCAGAGATGAAAACTCCTGCATCTTTAATGGCAGGTTAGAGTTAGCCCAGCTGGGGGATTCTCCCTGCTAAGTCCAGCAGGGCCCCCAGAAACTGCCCACTTCTTTAGGCAGCCTTTGCTTCTGCCTCCCACATTTCCCTCTCTGACAGGGGTTATGTCACTGCTGCTGCTTGTGAGAAAGCAAAAGCAGCCAAAAACAGCTCTCTGAAGTTAGGTACTCAAATGTATATTTAAGCACCTGAATGCCATTCTCTTGAGAGGAGAAACAGCTAAATACATTTTGTTTGTCTTGATTAATGAGATCACTAGCAAGCTTTTCAGGGCAAAGACTGCTGTGTATTTTTACATATGCAAAAGCAGGCTGACATCCATCCTGCACAAGCAGCAAGGGAAGCAGGAGGAAGCACTGCACATCCATACAAGGCAGACATTGGCCCAAGGGATCAAGCTGGGGCAGGTAAAACCCGTTGCCCCCACAGTAAACCTTCTCCATACATGAAGACATGCTCACAGACTCAGCACAATGCAGGACTCCTGGGAACTTACTCCACCAGGGGACTTTCTCCAAGCATTTTTTTCATCCCTTCCCCATCTCAGACAGGGCTCCCAGAATAAAGGCTATTCATGCATTTGCTGGGCAAGTCACAGGAGGTGTCCTCAACCCCAGCAGCTCATAGAGCCCCATCTGGCTAGCTCAGGGAGACACACACATTCTCTGCTGTGAAAAGCAAGTCATTTATTTCAGGGCTTATCTTAAGGCATGCCAGCATTTGAAAACATCAGATAGCCAACTAATCATAATGGGACTACAGGATCTGGTTATTGGAACAGAATAAGATTGTATCTTGAAGTCAATCAGAACATCACTCCTTTTAAATGTGTTAACTTCACCAGCTGGAGTAACATTTCCAAAACAAACAGAAACTATTGCACTAAACTGCAGTCTGTTCCCCATTTGTGCTACAGCCAATTTTCTGTGGACTGCTGCTCACTGTAACCAATCATATCTGCTCCTCTCATTACAGGTTGGTCCTCGTCTCAGTACTTTTCCAGACAGCGAGGCTCGTAAAAAGGCCTTCAGTGCCTACCGTTCAGAAATGCCTGTGAGATGTGGTCCTCTTCACCAGGGCATCTATACAACAAGCTGAAGGCTCAACCACAGCACTGTGCTGAGCAGCAAAGCCTTTAGACCTCTGAAATAGCCATGGATGATAGGTTTTCTCTCAGATTTAGGAAAGTTATGCTGATGTTTATATAGCCAAATAAACCACAAATATGAGAAAAAAGGCTCTGGCTCAACCTGTTCAGCACTTCATGTCAGGTGCGCATACCAACACTTTACCCCCTCTGGTCACCTCAAATCTCATCACATTCGAGATACCTATGCTCAGGCTACCAGTAGGACAGTGTTCAGACCAGTACAGCCCCACAGGAAAAAAAGGACAGTCTCCCTTCACTGTCTGTTCTGAAGAAATATATTAAATGTAACCATACCACAGTTGATACCATGTCTACAATATCCCATAATCCATGAGTTCTACTCATTTGATTGCCAATTAAGCTTTCCATTACTGCCTGATTCAGCAAGGCACCTACCCATTTACCTATGGGAAAGCATCTAAGCACCTGCTTTGAGTGCTCTGCCAAACTAAGGCCATACTTCAAATTAATACATTCGCTTGATGATAGCCCCAGACAATTCCACATTTATGCTTTGATAGCTGCTGGTGCCTGGTGTGATTCAGGGCTGAGCACGTCAAGAGCTGCTGGATGAACTTACAAGCTCCACCAACACCAGTTCAGTCCCACTGCACCCAGACACTAGCCTGGTGCCAGCCAGTCCACACAGGGCTCAGCTGCACTGACCCCTTTAAAGCAGTCTCCTCCCAACAGGGTGTTCCAGCTCAAGAAAATACCACTCAACAATGACCATAGTTACTTTAATTGTGCTTCACAAAGATTGCTAGCTGAGTAATGAATTGCTCCTGTGTTGCCCAAGTCCTGTATCTATTGTCACATCTCAGATTGTACTAGATATAGTTAAGACTAACATTAGCTTTGAGCATGTATATTCACCAGCCCTTTCTTCCTCAGTGACCTCAGATGTGCCCACCCCAGGATGGCCTGGGCATCTCAGGGCCCTGCTACGAGGGGGTAAGAGCTGCTGCCCTGGGCAGCCCCAGTCATCCACCTTCCTCCTACACAAGCAGCCAAGGGAGGCAGAGGCTTAAGAAACAGCACTGAGCCCAGGGCTTGTGCCTCACATTATCTGCAGCCAAACTTTTAGACCTGAATCTGAGAGTGGAGTTCTTCATAAAAACTCAAGCATGTTGCTCCAGATACAAGAGTAAAGCAGACTCTCCTTAAAGTTCAGTTTGTGGCTTAACCTCCCCTTTATGTAGGGCAGCAGCTGCAGCAAATTGCACCCTGCCCAAACCTGCCTCCACCTGAGCCTGGAGAGGCAGGAAACCAGCCGCTCCGCAGAGGAGAAACCTTGTTATAGGTTTCTCTCTTTTAGTACAGGTCTCTAAATAAAGCTAATCTAAAATAACTAGGAGGATAACAGTAGGGTTTGGCATGCTGGCAGAGGTGGAATATAACAGGAGACCTTTCCCACTTCCCTAGGGAGGGAAAAAGCTGGGCCTTAAATGTCTTGTCTTGCTAAAAATGACATGATTTATAAACCTCCTCTAGCCAAGCCATGGTGCATGTGTGAGAAACCCAGGCAAGAGGTTTCCCATGCTGCCTGGCAGGAGCCCCACTCAGCCCTGCATCCAGCAGCCACATCCATACCTGCCTGCAGCAGCTTTTCATGTCTCGGGGATGTGTGGGGGAAGGAGGTATTTCCAATAGGGTCCTGCATCATTAAAAAAGGGCTAACAAACAACCATGCGCATTCAGAGCTGCTGATTCAGAGAAACTGAGAGTGCCGGGCACTCAAGGGGAAGTGAATTACGTTACTGTTCACCTCATGAGATGGATGGGCCCTCAGCACCCTGCAAACCCAAGCCTTCATGGGGAGGGGGAGAAAAGGGATTAATGACATGCCTCGCAGCCGCTTGTGCACCTCAGCCAGCCAGGACGGCTCTGAGAAGCCACCAAAGAGACCAGGAACCTGAAGAGCAACAGTTGGGTCAAACAAAGCATGTTTAGGAGGAGATACTAGTCCATGGGGTGTGTAGCAGACCATGCAGACCAGCAGATCTGCCCCGCAGGCCTGGGAAATCCTGGGCAGAGCTGTGCCCCAAATGGCTCAAATCTAACAGCTCTTGGCTGGCTCATCCAGCATGTCGGCATCCGCTCTCCGCTCAGCAGCACCCACCACAGCACCGGCACCAGGACAGGCACCCTCCAAGGGGTGATAGCTGGAGCAGGCCCTGAGGCCTCGTCCCTCAGCAGGTGCCTAGTCCCCGGTGCCACACTGGGCTCCGGCCACCCCATTCCCAACACAGTCTCTGTTCCCCGCTGCTCTCAGCCCGCCACCCAACTCACCGAGGCAGGGAAACAAGCCAAAAACCATGCGTCTCCCTCCCCTCCTTCCTGCCTTGGCTGTGCCAGCTGCCTCTCCGTGCTGCTCTGCTGGAGGAGGCAGGTGCTGGAGGGGGGCCTGGCCCCCCGGGGCCGGGCTGGGG